GGGGGGGGGGGGGGCGGGTAGAAGGAGAGGCGGTGGTTAATGAGCACGAACCGCGGGGGGCCCGGACAACCCGGGACCAAGAACCGAGAATTGAGAACTGGCGACTAGCAACTGCCAACTTGGGGACTCAAGACTGCCAAAAGCTTAAGGCCCTTTTTGTTTTCTGAGAAGTCAGGAATTGTGGGGTATGTGTGTTGGGATTATGAATTTCATAAGTAATCCGTTACCATGTACGGTCACGTGTTTGTTTTTTTATTTATATGGAATTTTTGTGTTTGGGGAAATCAAAGAATTTGCCAACTTCTTCACTTTTGGGATAATTATATCGAGGAACGCCAACGTGAATAATCGTGTGGGACGTCGAAGGCACTGAGTACTCTCGCGTGCCATTGGGTGTAATTACGGCACGCGGATAATTGGAAGCTTTGGCCATGCGAAAAAGTCGATTCCAAAAATGGGGAATTTCACGAGGAGCGTACGAAGGAGGTTAAGAGGAGAGAAAAAAGGAAGCGAGAGAAGAGAGTGGCGAAAGATCAAAGCGGCCCTCGAGAATAATCCTTACGTGCGACCACGAGGCCTCGCGAGAGAGAAACGGTGAAACTCGAAAGAGGGAGAGAATGGGAGAGTGAGGGAGGGTGGAAACGGAAAGATTGAGAGAAGGAGCGAGATCGGCAGTGCGAGACGCAGAGCGAGAGTCGGAGTAGTGGGGCCCACCTGACCAACAGGTACCAGGTAAGGCCCCCCATGAGGCTTCGTCATTGGCTCTGCCCACTCTCCCCTCTCACGCTGGGTGCGCGATCCCAGGAAGAGCCAAAGGGTTTCCTTCCTTTCATCCCTTTGCGTAATCAATCCTGTATGGGCATTTCCTGCTTAAATCGTTATCTTTATTTGTTGTAGGATATTACCAAAAAAAAAAAAAAGTAAAGAAAAATATTTCATCTTTGTAGTGAATAAAAATTGAAAAGTATATTCTACTAGAAATTTCCAATTTCCAAAATAAAAATTAAAATGGATTGACAATAGCTTTTTGCCCGTAATCAGTCTTCGTCAAGCATCATTGGTTAGTCGGTGCTATATCGCTTATAGAAATGTCCGATCGGTCGAGTAGAGTATAGAATTTGCCGGGCCCAGCTGGTACAATTGGCACAGTACCCATGTCTAGGAAGGCCCACTTTGTGACAGGAAGATAAAGAGAAGGAAGGATGAATAAGGATAAGTCGAAGAAGCAAGTTGAGGAATAAAAGAGAATCGAAGGTGACGGAGGAGCGGCCTGGTTACCAAAAAGGAAGTCGACGAAGAAACGGAAGGGCCTTACGTAGGTAGGTACCGACATCGGGCCCCGATGTTGTAACGAGCGCCGATGTTGCCGCTCCGCTCAACCACCGTGGTGTACATACGTACATCGTTTTTGTTTACACTGGATTACACGGCTACCATGAAGCGAGGTAACCGCTTTTTGCGGGCCCCGCCGAGTGGGGCCTTGGTCGGGTACGACGGATTGATTGGTTGCATTAGTGCAGCGCCCTCGACGCGGCACTTCCATCGCAGGCTCTCTTGCAATGGACACGCGGTCTTTTACGCCTGCTCGCCATTTTATTTCCACGACCACTATCCACTCTCTCTTTCCGGCAAAAAAGGGATGATTTTTCAAAGGGGGGAAATTATGTGAAAAATAAAGAAATTGCCAAAGGGCGTTAAAGTATCGGTACAGTCGTCCAATTGCGAGCTAGAGGCAAATAGGGCCCGCGGACCCATTTACCGAGGAACATCCGGTGCGCTAAATGGCACAGTCGAGTGAAGATCGTTGTAAAGTTGCGACGGGGTCCTCGAGAAAACCAAGAGCTGTTGTTTCGCACGCTGATTGGTTCCGACGGGCCCGCGTGCGTCTGTCGGTTCTATGCTGGTAATTAAGGCCCGACTAAGGGGACCATTCGCTCGGCAAAAATCAACAAAATAATAAGAACCCTTGGGGATGGACGATTGTCGGCCATCTTGCCAAGGGGAGTAAAGTGTTCTAAAAACTTAACCTAGGATCAGTGGATGAAGAGGTTGAGGTTTGAAAGAAGCGAAAGATAGAGGTGAAGTGGTTCAGTGAAAAAGGTAAATTATTAAACGCGAAGACAAACAAAAATATGGTCGACAAACCGCAACGAGCCACCAGACGGTTAATGACTTTATGCAGTCAATCCCTTTTGTCCCAAGACCAATAACCATCAGTCATAAACCCTTGGGAATTCGCAATTCAATCCCAGCCCGAGGTAGGAATGAGTTGAGCAATATTTTGAAACTGAAAGGAACTCCAGGAAAGCGCGAAAGGCAGAATGGCCGTCAGAGCAGGATGGACACACGTGCTTAGTAGGTGGTGAGAATCGGCCAGGTCAGAATACGTTGACAGTGGGCGTAGCCGACATGACCGAAGGACTCGTCAAAAGAAATATATCCTGCGGGAGTCCAGAGGCAAGAAGCTGGTCAGGTCATCGCGCGTGTAACCTGACCTCCTGCGTTAAAAGAGGCAGACCGAGAAAGCGTGAGAGTGCGAAGTTACGGACGCTGCAGGCCCAAGTAAAAAAAAGAAAAACACAACGTGTGGACATCTGCAACGGGAAGTTATTACAGATAACTTGAGCGAAATAACAACCCCAACAAGATTACGTTTCCTTCTCATCCGGTAAAAGACTCCCTCGCTGGACCTATAGAACCTACGCCCCAGCCTCCTAGCCAGGATTCCCGTCCTCATTGTTAGTCCTAGATGCATCCGAACCCCCCTTTGAATTTGTACCCCCTCGACCGCCACACCGGAATCCTATCTCGATCGGAGCAACGTGCGCTGCCTGCTCTTGGCCCGAATCAACTACCGTACAAGAGAAGGAGTGGCTGGATGCTAGACCCTGGTAGATCATCGCGGTACAGAGCATAGTAGGCCACAGTGGACCGTAGCAGAGCACAGCAGACGTGGTAGACCCGGTGGACTGGGTAGAGCATACGGGAAGCCGGGTTCTGGGCGGTGGCGACCAGGACGAGCAGGGACCACTGGTGCTAGTTGAGTTGTCGAGCTGACACGCGTTTTCTCTCCCCCCCTCTCATGCTCTCTCTCTCTCTCTCTCTCTCTCTCTCTCTCTCTCTCTCTCTCTCTCGCCCCGTCTTCCTTCAGCTCCTCCTTTTCCAGTGCGAGCAGCAACGTCGACCTCACTCTTCCCGTCTCCGCTCCTCTTCATCGCGGAGCGTCTTCCTCCGGCCCCTACTCGCTCGCGCACTCTCTCTCTCTCTCTCTCTCTCTCTCTCGCCCCGTCTTCCTTCAGCTCCTCCTTTTCCAGTGCGAGCAGCAACGTCGACCTCACTCTTCCCGTCTCCGCTCCTCTTCATCGCGGAGCGTCTTCTTCTCCCTCTCCGATGAGCATCCCGTCCCACTCTCTCACTCACTCTGTCTCTCTCGCTCGCGCAGTCAGCCTCGAAGGAGGGATCCGCTTCGAACTCGCTCGCTCGGTCCTTTGCTTACTAGTTCTCTCTCGGTCGCTCGTATTTTGAGTTTTCTGAGTTGGCCTCTGTCGCGCAGCCAGTGAGAATCCCAGGAGGACTTGGTCGGCATGGAATACCCCTCTTGCCGAGCTGGACTCAGTACCGCCATACCCGCCAAAGCATAAGCACCGTGACAGCCTCGCGTTTACTCGCGTTTACTCGCGTCAAAGTGAACCTGCGTGCCTGACTGACCCGACTGCGTCGCTCTTTGACTTTTCGACTGGCTTTATTGTCAGCGGAGGCTTGTGTCTCTTCGGCCTATCTTGCCCGGGTGGATTATCGCTATTTCGCTATTTCGCTATTTCGCTGCGATCCACGAAATCACGTTGACGTGCTTCCAGATCCGAAGCCTGTCGTCGATAACCGGACTAGTGTCAAACAGCCTGGAAAGTCAGTCGTACGCGTTTCCGTTGAGACGCGAATCGTTCGTCGGTCGCGGACCGTGCGCGCACGTTCGGAGAGTTCTCTCGGTGAGGATCGAAGTTTTTTTTTTTTCTTTTCGAAATTTGTGGAGGAATTTAAGAGAAGCGAAGGAATAACGAGAAATCGTTCGACCTCGAGGGCTGCGATTCAACCTGAATGCGGGATATAGAACCGGTCCGCCGGATCGGTGTGAACATTTAAAGTGAGTGAACCTTTTCTCAGCGAAAAGCTAGTGGGTGTGCATTTATTCGAAGACTGGATTACGAATAGTCTGCTCCTCGAAAGTGCCTTCTGCCTTCTGGCCCGAGCGTCGTCGCATCGCTCCCTGACATCGAACGATCAATTACCGCGTCGCCGCACTTGATGCAATTGACTAAATCGATCAACAGCCACCGGTCCGTCTCGCAGCCTCCTGCGATCGTCCGCTGCAGCGAGAGAGCAATGCTCCCCGGGTCCAGAAATACCGACTAACAACGACGGATCAAGGGGACCTTCAGAATTACTTCATCTGGCAGTACCGACGGGCCCAAACATGGAGAGGATGGACCCCACGGGCCGCTCCTAGTGACTCGGGACGAGGATGATCATGTAGACGTCGAGTCTATCGATTCCGAGTTGATCATCAGCGAGAGCAGATTGACGAATCGCGACGGGGACCGTCCTGGCGACTATCCTCCCCCAATCGTAAGGGATGCACTCACGGGGGATGCCGATCGGACCGATCGAGACCGGATAGAGGACTATGTTAAGCATCAACGATCTGCGCGCCTGGCCAATCCCGAAGGGAGGATCGACGATTCCGCGGCAGATCGTCGGCATCGCGGCGCCCCGCTCCTGATTGCTCGAGGGCCGATTCTCGAGGGTAGCACCTGGTGCGACAGGAGGAAGATGCCGGAAAAGGAGGTGGCCTATCACCAGGAGGCCTTCTCCCTGCTGCCGCCGCCCCCGCACCACCCGCACTCCGCTTTCCACGCGGCCTTTCATCCGCACCCTCATCCACCGCCGCCGCCGCCCTTTCATCCCCATCATGGACCGCCGCCGCCGACGCATCACGCCGCCGCGGCCGCCGCGGCCTGGGAACATCACGCTGCCGCCGCGGCGGCGGCCGCCGCCGTAGCTTTTCACGCGCCGCCTCCGCACCCGTAAGTCTTCCTTTCGTTCAACGTACTCGGCGTCGCCGCGACGACACCCGTCGAATTACACGCGTCAGGCCGAATCGCCCGATAGCGGCGCTGCTCTTGATTTATCAGTGAATCAGGCGTCGGCAGCGTCGGCAGCGTCGGCGTCTTCGTAGGCGCCGGGGCTAGAATCGTAATCGGCCTTACTCGTGTAAACGGCACTTTGAGCCTCGTGTAAACACGCTCGCGTGCCGGCTTCATATCGGCGATGGAAGCTCAGAGAGATTCGGCCCCTAAGTGGCTGCTGGATCGAATTGACAGATCGCGTAGAATAGAAGCAGCTGTAAACTGTGGGATTGAAGGGACCGTCTAATTTAAGTAATTAAGCAATTAAACGCTCAAGGAATTCACCCCAGTCACGCGAGCACTTGCACCTACCTATGCGCAACCAGCGCCAGCTTACGTGCTAACGGTAGATCAATGGGAGCTCAGTAAGGAGACCTACCGGAAAGTCCTGAGCAATTATTTATTATCCGAGTGTCTCTTTGACTTCGGCCAGCGAGAGTTGCCGAGATAAAAGACGTAATCGTTACATGGAAACAGGCAGGACCGTAACAGCCGTGGCGTAATGCCCGCCGATAAAAGTCCAAAGGGGAGAGCCTAAACGTAGCGAGGAGGATGACTCCCATGAAAATGTAGAATGACAAGGCAATTAAATGGCGTAGGAGGAGGGACCGGAGTCACCAGAGCAATCTGTCGTAAAGCATCCTCGAGTTGTAGGCTTATACGAGAGAAGAGACAAGTGGCGCACGTGCGTCTGTCTATCTTGGTTATCGGATGTCCCAGTCACGTGAAAATACACGAGTCACCTGTGCATTTACATGGCCATTGACATGGGTGTCTCTGGCGCGGGAAATTTAAATTTCACCAAACCGCGACGACCCTCTCAATTAATGGTCAGAAGTGTCTGCTGCACCCTTCGATTCCAGTTGCTCCTACCATTGACTACGTATACGAGCTTACTGTCCCGTACGACTTTAGGCCTCTTCAACCGGATATTTCGGTCTCTTTGCGAGGACCCACGAGATCGAGTGTATTTTTGCTTTCAAGCTTTTCGCCACAAGCTCCTTTTTCCACGGTTGGACGGCGGCAGACATTCCCTCGACCGAGCCTGCGGACGTCTGAGGAATTGCGAACCGCCATTAAGTAGCTGGAAGTGATTTTAACCATTTTTCCATGTCCTTCAACGAAATTCCATTTATTTCTTCTTGCCCGGCTGCCGTCCAGAATGCATCGCGAGAATTCTACATGAAAACGCCAACTGGCGAGCGTCGCCGATCGCTCAACGACACAGACTCGAGCGTTACCACCTTTAAGCGACAAGGGCATCCTCCATGGTCCAGACTCTGCTGGTATTTTTTCTCGCGACACTCACCAGCCGTACACTCTACGTCACTCGTGGGAGTTTTCTTGCATCGAGACGGTATTTGATTACGGCTCGTAAACGAAAGCGTCTGTACGACAAACGAGAGAGTCTATTTCGTTTATGAATCTTTATTACGTCTCAACTGCTCCGAGGGTTTTCGAAGGGCTAACGAGTAGATATCTAATATCTGTATGTATATATATATATATATATATATATATACACACACGATGTAGGATTAAAGAAAAAGGGCTGAGAAGAAAAAAGATGCGGGTTCTTACTTTGCCTGAGCATAGAAAAGTCATGGGAAATATTCAATAATCATAGTAGTAATCATATCCTGGTACCCTACGTTCTGTAAATTTTGATTCAATGTGTACATATATATTTGTTATATGAATATTTACCACTTGCAGACAATTGCTTTCCGTAGCAAGTCCAGCGTGAAATCCATTGTACGTAACCGGGCAATGGCAGCAGGTTCAATGGATGATGAGATAAGGGAGAGTAAACTGATGCATCGGAGTCAAGATTCAATAGGAGAACTCGATACGATCCACGCATGCGATTTATCATTGGTGCGTTGTCCATTGATAAATTCCAGGCATTCGTAATGCTACGTGCCTCCTCACTCGCTACGCAGCGAAGGCCTAGAGAATTCATCCCTCCTGCGCGGGGCCGGGGGGACGCGTGATATCGTATATGCGATACTCGCGATACCTCATGATACCCCAGGATATGATAGCACGCGATAATAGCTATTTGTACATATACCACAACACGTCGGTATGTATGTCCCGAAGATACTACGGTGGTTAGTGGTCGTGCGAGTAACACGAGAATCTCTTGCGCGCTTCTTTAGTCCGGACAACAACCCAGGCCTTATGTGTTTATTCGATTGTGGAACGGTGTCGTTGCCCGTAATTTTTATACCGGCTACTAATATTTATCCTCTTAATCGTCCCTGGAATTTTTCACTGCGTACGTATTCCGATTGCTCTCGGAATTCTTTAGCAGCGTCCAAAGACCGCTTTTGGTATTCGGGCTTGTATATGCTTGTCGAAGGTAGGGAATATTTTATTAATTATTTATAGGGAATTTTTAGAGAGAATTTTTGTCTACCTGAAAGTACGTCTGTATTTTTCAGACTCATCGAGGAATTTTTTATTTGGATATTTTAGGTAAAGTATCTGTGAATGTCGATTGGACAATGTTGAATATTTATTTTGACGAAATCTTACACAATAAAGATTTGTTAATATATTTAGTATCTCTATGCTGTATGAAAACAGTAAACTATAAATATATAGTAGTTAATTTAATGATAATATAATTGATACAAGGACTCGCTCTCACAGTGATAGTCTCTCGTGTAACAATTAGACTATGGTAAACCACGAGGGCTGTCAGATAAGATTTGTTTTGTCTGGTGGAGCCTCGTTATATCTTCGGTACATGTTACACGGGCAACCTTATATGTAGGCAATATTGAATAATTCGCTTCGACGAAATCGTCTCACAAAGAGATACGTTGGACATGATAAATTCCCACGGGACGATTAGGAATGAATAATCAATAGAAACGCATTGATTTGACGTACCTGACGTTTGAGCCGAGGAAAAGTGGATGTGACGGGCTGTCCGATTCTCGTATAGAAATGAAAAGGAGTCGGGACGAAAATAGTTGAAGTTATCGGGGTTGTAAGATTCAGGGACACCGTGTATAAATACACAAACGTCCCTGCGACCTGGGACGTTCGTTCATATGTCCGCCATGTGGCGAACGTTTTCCTTCTTCTCTCCTTCAGGACTCTCTCGCACGTTTCTCCTTTCTCGCCTTCTCTTTGCCCTTTTTTCACTTTCCGTATCCTGCCGAATTTTCGATCTCAGGAGCAGCTAGGTCCGCTCGTATTTCCAAGGATCGGACTGCCAGCTCTCGCGATCACCCTTAGACTGGCTCGTTGGTTACTCGGAATTTATCCCAGATTTTTATCTCCTCGACTCCTCAACTCTTTCCTCGTCAACGATCCTTCCAGGATCTTCATCGGGTCCAGCAAGTTCTCAAGATGCCGTTCGGGGTTGCAGGGCTTCGTTACGACGTATCCGACTTTGATTTTTGATCTTCGTCACTGATCAATTTCGGTCCAATCGGAATATCGTATCGGTAGCTGACTCGCACGGCTGGTGTCCGACGTTTAGAAAGTGGTCCAGGACATGATCTTGGTCCTTCTGGGAAAGAAGGTCCTACCGGGTCCTTCTTTCATTTGAAAGGGAAAGGACCCACTGGAAAAGAATGGCCAGGCTGAATTTCGATAAATTATTGCCTGTGTAGGTCTAAAAGATGAAAACCCTATGGGAAATTGCATCCTGATAACGTCAATAGATAACGGTTGTTGGTCCATTGGCTGGGTGGCTGGAGCACGCTATAGCGCTATAGCAGCAAGTAAGGGAGTGCCAAGGAATATAAACGCGAGAAAACAGCACGCGTTACTCACATAAAATCTCATAATGCTCTTGTCCAAACAAACGCACGGTGGCAGTGTTATGGCGTTCGGGAATTTACCACTTGGAAATATCCCGTGGAAAGGGATCCTCGTAAAATTCACGGCGACTCCATCCTCCTCGAAGCTCCGGGACACAGGTGCGACATTCCCGAGATAAAGAAGGAATCCTGAGGTCTCTGGCTGCAACAGTCCCTCCTTACCTCTCGATTACTTTTTCACTGCTCTTTCCCTAGTATTTTTCGGAGTCGAGGGAGAAAGGATAATACATACATTTTTTGTATCCAATCGCAAATGACCACTGTGGCACCAGGAGCCGGGAGTTCAAGGAAGACGTAAAGATAAGGACTCTATTGAGAAAAGTCTCTAGTGCTTTCTGGGGACGTAGCAAATGTCCCTAGGGGAGAGGTCTCTGTACAGACCGGAGATGAAGGCGCCACTCGATCCCGCGTTTAGCTTCTGTCCACTGTCACTTTAATGACTCCTAATGATAGCTACTAGACTGCTGAGAACCTAGCGCTCACTTGGCTCTGCTTTTTTTTTGTTAAATTTCCTTCCCGTCAGCCAGCAGCTACCCTGTCGGCCATTACGATTCTCTGGCTAGTCGAGGAACCTCGTAAAATAGCACGGGCATTAACCGGCTGTGAGAAAATCACGAGAAATACTTTTGCTGGCTGCGTAGGTCACTGAAAGATTGCGAAAAAGGTTTATTGAACTTATTTTTTATTTCCTTTTCGAAAGCCTGGAAAAATTTAAGGGACCGGTGGAAGAGTGATTTCAGAATGGAACGAGATTACATTTTCCATTCTTTCGATCGTAAAAGAAACGTGCGCGTGACTGTGAATAATTTTTGGCGTGATCCGCAGTCACGTCTTTGGAAAATTTAAGTGGTGACTCTCGTTTCCTATGCTTCTTTTCAAATTTGATTACTTTTGAAAATCGAGCCATTCCTGCCAGAGGCCACTTGTTCCTACTTTCTCATCCAGGCCTCCGCTCTGGCGAATGGTAGCGCCCTGGTAGCCATTACTCTCCTTGTGTCTTTCTCTTTCTCTTTCTCTGTCTAGCAGCACTAATTGAGTTATTACTCCGCCCCTTAA